TCCCGTTCCTCAGACGACATGTCCATACTGGGCCTCCTGCAGTGCCACTACGATGCCACCCGAAGGTTGCAGGAACAGCAACTCGTATTCTGCTTGGGAACCCTGCAGCCCAATGGTATCAATGTGGATTTCACAAGCTTCAAAATCTCCCCTTCCCCCACCGCATCCCAAAACCAGCCCAGCTCGTCCCCGCCTCCCTAACCTGTTCTTCCTCCCACCTATCCCCTCCTCCCACCTCAAGCCACACCTCCATCTCCTACCTACTAACCTCATCCCGCCCCCTTGACCTGTCCGTCCTCCCTGGACTGACCTATCCCCTCCCTAACTCCCCACCTACACTCACCTTTACTGGCTCCATTCCCGCCTCTACGACCTGTCTGTTTCCTCTCCACCTATCCTCTCCTCTATCCGCCTCCCACTCTCTCCCTATTTATTTCAGAACCCCCTTCCCCTCCCCCCTTTCTGATGAAGGGTCTAGGCCTGAAACTTCAGCCTTTCTGCTGCTATGATGCTGCTTGGCCTGCTGTGTTCATCCAGCTCTGCACGTTGTCACCAATTGCCTTTGATTGAGGGACCATTGCTCCTGACCCCCTACCTTCACCCCACTAAGGTGACAGGGTGGCCACGTAGCTTTACCAGTTATCAGGCTGCACGGTAACAGGCTGCTTCTTATTAAATAAGAGTGACAGAATGAGGCCTGAAATGGAGATTAATTCGCACTTTGGGGCCTCAATTTGCAGGGGGCTGGGAAACTTACCATTCAGAGTGAATATGGGAAGGTGGCGGGGTTCAGGTATGCTGCCATCCTGCCCAAGTTAAATGCTCCTCCTGACTCCAAGCTCACCACCAGCAAGAGGGATATTCTGTTGTACATACACCATATATTGAGATGCACACAGATATGTATGTGCGCAGATGTGTTTGTATGTGCACACAATAGCAGCCACAAGCATCGCTGCACACGCACACACAAAGTTAGACTTGTCCACTTCAGTGTTTTTGATCCAACAAACAGATGTTTGGTGTGAGATTTTTAATGAGGTACACATTAGGACTGAGACTAACATTTCAAAATGTGTGTCTAATCTTTGGAATTACCAACTGGGTCCCCTTATTGGATTTGTGTACTCTATCTCTGGAAATGGGAAGAAATGGCAAAACTGTTCACCACCACAGCCAATGATAGATTAGGTGTGAGAGCAGATTGAGAGAAGACAAGAGCTCTGACCAATTTATTCAGCTAATTTATAGACACTATATGGGTGAGGCAATGGCCTAGTGGTAATATTGCTAGATTAGTAATCCAGAGATCCAGGTAATGTTTTGGGGACCCAGGTTTGAGTCTTGCCATGGCAGATGATAGAGTTTGAATTGAATAAAAAAATCTGGAAGTAAGACCATGAAACTGTCTTCAATTGTCAGGATGGATCCATCTGGTTCACTAATTTCCTTTAACGAAGGAAATCCGCAATCTTTACCTGGTCTGTCCTACATGTGACTCCAGAACCAAAGCATATTGGTTAACATTAACTGCCCTCTGGGCAATTATGTATGGACTGTAAATGCTGGCTTAGCCAGTGACACCCTGATCCTGTGAATGAACTTTTAAAAAAAAACGTGAGATCCACTCTTCAGGGGCCAATAAAGGTAGAGTTAAAGAAAAAGGAGGAAAATTACTGGTTATTCCATGGCAAACAGAAACTTTTACAGCTGTCCTCATGAAAATCTGTTAGAAGATTTTTTCTAAAAGCTATATTTTTGTCCCTGTCATCTAAGTTGGGAGCACTGACTCTATGCATAAGTTCCTTCTTTTGCATTTATTGATTCACTATCTGTATTTTCTCTTTTGTTTGTGATATCTATTTTTGTTAATCACCAATCATATTGCACAATATTTTCTTAATTTTCTCTCCATCCAAAACACATTTCCTATCACAATCCACAAAAGTCATTCTCTGATAATGTTGCCTCATTCATTCATCTGCAAATGCAAAACTTATAGCAAACATGAAACAATAACAGGCAAAAGCATGCATTGATAAATAAGATTAATGGGTGTGATTTTCCTCTTCCTGGAAGTGGTGTGACAGATAGTAACTTTCTCTCCAGGGCAATTCACTCCATTATTTTCCCTTCTTATCACCTCAATGATTAAGTGCTGCACCGGAAGGTATGTTGGAAACTTCTAGTATCTTTAAGCTGGGAACTTGTTAATTGTATAGATATTTTCTATTCAAAAATTTCAGAGATGTTATTACGCTCTGGAGCAAGTAAGATTTGAACCCTGGCCTCCTGGCTCAGAGGTAGGGCTGCTATAAACACCACAAGAGCCCCTCTGCGTAAACACTTCTATTTTCAAATTGGAGACTTTCTCAACTCATCAGCAATTAATGCCCTAAAGTGATCATTTAATGACCACTTAAAGGTCTCAACCTGCCATCCTCCCAATCACCAGTCTCTCCAGTGAATGAGATTAACTCAGAAACACTGGTGATCTGCCTTTCAGGTTCACAGCAGGAGGTAGTTTTGATTGTCTAACGGCCCTATCTGGGGGCAGTCAGAGGTATAGGGGCAGCAAGGGGGTAACCTCTGTTTGTCCTTGTCTCCAACCCTTTGAACACCATTTCACTCCAAACCCCACCTTCTCGCTGCTGGATCCCTCTTAACGAGTAGGCTTTAACCAGCGGACTTTAGGACCCAGATATGCTGTAAAGTTTGCCACAGGCCTCTGAGCATTGCAGATTCCTGTTGCATCCTCCTTGTTGCAAATTCCATTTTAAGATTTGTATTAAATATGACCAAGTGCATTTTAGAAAATTTCCACCAACTGCTGCTCCCTCCCTTTCTTCTCAGGTGTTTTGGTTATTGGTTGGCTGCAATATATAAATCCAATGAGAAAATGTTCTTCTGAAATATCATTTAAAATGTTTGTTTTAAAAGAACTGGACAAAAACGATATGACAGTGTGTCTGTCTTCCATTCAATACCCAGTGCCAGTAACAATTGCAGAGTCCTCATGGCCCAAGAATTGCAATATGTTTATCCTGCCTCAATATCTACATTTCCAGGCATTGACAGTTTTGGACTGTACATGATACTGTTAGCCTGCCTATAATTTTTAATTCAATGCTAAAATTCAGGCATAGATGCCAGCTTGAAAAAACAACAATATTCTCTGTCTGATGTTTTCTTGCAAGCATTTCTAGGTCATGCATTTCCTCAGATGAGTTTGTCAAATATCTGTATTTCTGCAATTTCTATTTGATGTGTGCCCCATTTTGAAACTACCCCAACTAGCTCAGTGTGATCACAGAGATATTAATTAACAAGGTTAAAGTCACATTGCATTAAGTTCTAAAGTCAGAAGGAGAATTTTGTGCAGAAAATAGTTTAATTTCAGATGATCTGTTGTCAAATATCCTGTTGTTTTGTCTTAATGCAGGCTGCGTGGAGATTTTATGCCACAAATCTCAACAGGAATGATCTTATTGCCACATGGAGATATTATGAAAGTGTCATCACAATTCCTTTCTTCAGGCATGTATGCTGCTGCTCTGTTCAACTCTACAAACAAAAGTGCATAATTCACTGATTTTTATTTATGATTATATTTCTTTTTCACTTTCATTCTGTTCCTGAATTGATCATGTATCTTAAAACTTCAGTGTGCATGGCGTTATTATGTTCCTGGTGAGAGTTCAGTTTGTGTAGCAACATGGAAGCCAATTTTGAAGACCGTGAATACCTAAAAAAGTAGGTACTTGGGTCACTGCTTTTCCATATTTTTATTGCTGTTTTTCTTGAGTTATACCTTCATGTCTGTCAGAAAATAATTAAAGTTATAAATTATATCAACTGATCAATATCAAGCTTTTACAAAGCAGCAAGGGGGAATTTTCATTCATGTTTCTTTTTTAAAAAAAAAAATCACAAACTGAAATTTTGCATTTGTTTTGTAAGGAACTGTAGAAAACCAATCACTCAAAGAAATAATAGGTTCCTATCCTTTCTAATTATTTAGATGTATGTGCAAAACGTTGTGTATTGACTGAGTAGAATTGGATCTACCATGTAGCCAGTCTGATAGCTCGTATTTGGCTGTACTGTACTTAAAAGTGTACAAACTAGGAGCAGGAGAAAGCCATTTGACCCTTTGAGCCTGTCCCATTAAGAAGACCCCGTTGTAATCTCAACTCTACTTTCCCACCTACCCGGATTGTCTTTCACTTCCCTTTTTAACCAATAATCCATCTACCTCTGCCAGAAAAATAGTCAAAAGCTCTGTTTCCATCACCCTTTGAGGAAAAGAGTTTCAAAAACAGTTCTCCTCTTTGTTTTAAATAGAAAGCACCTTACTTTTAAGCAATTTTAGATTCTCCCAAAAGAGTGTTTATCTTTTCTACCTTAGAAGGTAGAGCTCCCTTAGTATCTTGTGTGTTTCAATCAAGTCACCTCTTGTTCTCCTAAATTCTTTTGCATACAAGTCTAGCTTGTCAAACCTTTCTGAAGACAACCAACTCCTTCCAGATATTAGTTTGGTATATCTTCTCTGTATTGCTTCCAACACACTCAGTCTCCCTTAGACAAACAACAAAATCATTACTGGACACAGTGCTCCAGATGTGGCCTCACCATGTGCCTTGGATAACTTCCCTGCTTTTGTATCCAGTCCCCCCTTGCAATGAACAAAAGCATTTTATTAACTTCCCCAATTACATGTGTATCTGCACACTAGCCTTGTGGTTCATGCACTAGGACACCCAGATCCCTCTGCATCTCAGAGCTCTGCTGTCTCCCAACATATAGATAACTTTTTTTAACTCTTCATGCTATGGGTCACACTTTCAATTTTTCTGACATACTTTTCTATTGGCCAGATCTCCAATTTGTGATAAGAATTATAGTACTCTACACCAGTATTCCTGACTATGGGTGGAGTATCCACTATCAGTACATCTGAAATCTGAAAAGACCTAAAAACCAAAGGTCTTTTTGAAAGCGGACCTGAACAGATGTGTAGGTGCACCGAGTTCTGGCCTTTTGGGAAAAAAAAAAAAAACTTTGTTTGGCCTGAACGGACCTAAAACCACAGTATTTTTTACCAAAAGGCTGAATTGAGATTGCCTACAAGTCCATTCAGGCTCTTTGGGGAAAACTGATTTATTTTCAAGTTGATTTTGTTTTGACGAGCTAAAAAATATGCAGCTTAATGATGTAATTGAAGAATCTATTTCCACAAATTAAAACAACATATTTAAGAGTATATTTTTGATCCTTTAAGACTACAGCTGTTTGCAATACATAACGTCCATTTGAGTTCTACACACCTCCTGCTTTAACATCAACAGAAGCCTTGGGAAACAGCATAAACAGCTACTAATCTTATCTCAGACAATTAAAATAACCCTGCAGAAATTCTACACTCACTGCTTTTTCAGAGCTTACAAGTTAAACAACAGTTACATTTAAACATGCATTTCTTTATAAAGATTAGAAGATTTTGCCAAAGTGAACATCTCACCAAATGTTACCTTGGAAATAAATATTAAAAAATATTTTTAAAAATTAAACTTAAACACCTCTGACAATTTGATGCCTTTGTCACAGTTCTGTCTGGTGCTCTGGTGGGACGGGGAGATTTTTTTGTGTTAGGCTATGAAAACGCAGAAAATAAAGTGTTGACAAGTCCAAAGTGCTGATTAGCTCAGTTTTCACACGTCCCGTGGTATACACACACCAGGTGATGTGTATTTTTTTTTATTTTTCTAGAGTACAAAAATCATTTATTTTATGCCAACTACTTGTGTGGTTTGATACTTGAGATTCTCAAGAAAGCTTTTAATCTCAGCAGGCAGACAAGCACAAAAATCTCTAACAGTATGATTTTATAAGCATTCAATAGTAAAACCTGAACATAAAAAAATGAAAAGGAAGGTTAATATTTTGGCAGATATCATTCATCAGAACCTCTGTTGACTAGGAATCATTGAGTGCTGACATCAATCAACACAACAGATAGACAAAGCTTTCTTTTATTTTGATAATGGCAAAATAGGTTTCAAATTATAATAAGTAATTGTTACATTACTGAGCTAATTTTGACTCGGGTAAGAAGGAATTGATAAACATGTTTACATTACAATATTGGAAAGAAAGATGTCCCAGAGGGGGACAGGGACAGAATTGATTTGGTTGAGGCTGAGAAACAATACAGGTAGTATTGCATTCCGTGGTGTATTCTATGGACCATAGAACCAACCATAGTGTAACAAATTTGCAAGGAAATTACTCACATATGAATGAATTGAGAGTTATAATGGAGGACTTTAGTTATTCAAATATGGAATTGTATAAAAATAGTGTAAAAAGAGAAGAGTAAGAGTTCATCAAGTGTGTTGAGGACAATTTTTTTGCTCAGCATGTTTCCAGTCAAAGGAGGAGGCCCTGCTGGATTTAGTTCTTGGGAATGAGGTGCAGTGCATCTAATGGATCAAATGTCAGCGGGGGAACATTAAAATGTGTGTGATTCTAATATCATATGGTTTATCTTAGCTTCAGAAAAGGACAAGGAGCTAACCGGAGTAAAATGATCTAATGGGAGGAGGGCTAACCTCAGTTGAGTAAGAGGGATTTGGAAAGACAGACACACACAAAATCGGCAGGCCAAACTGCAACCTGTCAAAAACACAAAGTTTGGGGTCAGTCAAGTTACATATCCAGAGGAGGAAAAAGTCAGGCAAACAAATCCAGAGTCCACTGAATGATGAGAGAGATTCAAAACAAAGCTAAAAAAGGGGTGCATTTCACAGATATACGCAAGGGACATGAATAGGCTACTTGGACTGTCAAGCCTGCTTTGCCATTCAATAAGATCATGGCTAATCGATCTTAAACGCAATTCTACATATCCCCGATAATCTTTCATTCCCTTGGTAATTAAGAATCTATTTCCATTTTAAAAATATTCAAATATTCTGCATCCACTACTTTTTGAGGAAGGAAATTCCAAAGACATTCAACTCAGAAATAGTTTCCTCATCTCTGTCTTAAATGGTGACCCTTTATTTTTAAACTATGACCCCTAATTTTAGTTAATTGAGAATCAAGTAGCCAGTTCAGAGGGGAGGCAAAGAAACAAGTAAGAGAAGTAAAGAGAGAGAATGAGAAAACACTGGCTGGAGAGGTAAAACGCAGTGCAAACATTGTCCATAGGCACATTAGTAGCAAAAGGGTTCTAAAAGGAGGAATAAAATCAATTTAGATCCAAAAGTGAATCAATACATGGATGCATTGGTATGGCTGAGATACTAAATGAGTACTTTGCATCTTATATTTAGGAAGGGAGAGGATACAGCCAAAGTCATTGAAAGAGGAAGTGGTTGACGGGCTAAAAATTAAGTGGAGGTAGATGGTAGGCTGGCTATATGAAAAGTTGATAAGTCACCAGGACTGAATGAGATGCATGTGAGGATACCAAAAGAAGTGGATCAAATATGGATTAATTTAGGAACACCAGCACAGTTTGATAAAGGAAATTATGTTTAACCAGCTTAGCTGAGTTGTTTGATGAGGTAACAGAGGAAGTTGATGAGGGTGATGCAGTTGATATGGTCTATATGGACTCCCAAAAACAATTTTATAAAGTGCAACATAAAAAGCTTGTGAACAATGTTCCACACTCATGGAATAAAAGGGACAGTAGCAGCATGGGTATTTGAATGGCTGCATGATACGCAACAGCAAGTGACAGTGAAATGTTTCTTCTCAACTGGAAGATGTATAATTTGATTCCTCAAGGGTCAGATCTTTACTTTTCTTGATACTTTAAGTCCCCCACTTAACATTGACTCAGTCCATGTTGATTTACTTTAACATCATTCAGAAAACAGGGAATACTTACCTATTTGACATTAAGAAGTTTACTGTAATGTTGGAGATAATAAGGACTGCAGATGCTGGAAGCCAGAGCCTGTAGGTGAGAGGCTGGAACAGCACAGTAGGCCTGACAGCATCTGAGGAGCAGGTAAGTCAAGTTTTCCAGCTGAAATCCTTTGTCAGGACTGGGGAGGGGAACCCAGAAATAAATAGAGGGAGGGGGTGTGGCTGGGGGAAGGTAGGAGAGATGGTGATAGGTGGATGTAGGTAGCGGGTATTGTGATTGGTCAGTGGGAAGGGTGGAGCGGATAGGTGAGTAGGTAGATGGATCGGTTAGGTTTGGTTAGGGAGGGATGGAGGGCTGGACATGGGATAAGGTTGGAGTGGAGGGATTTTGACATTGGTGAAGTCAATGTTAAGGCCATTGGGCTGTAAGCTTCCAAGGTGAAATGTCACATGTTGTTCCTCCAGTTTACTATCTTCAGATGCTGTCTGAGCTGCATGCTCTTCCAGCTTCACTATAATGCTGTTTGTTACAACTTCCTGTTCTGTGGCCTACACATCCTAAATGCACATATGAAGAAAAAAATCAGAGTTAACGTTTCGGGTTAGGTGACCCTTCCTCAGTTTTAAGGAAGGGTCACCGGACGCGAAACGTTAAC